TCCATGTAACACCGAATCGACTCCGTTTGCCATTGGTCCCAATTGTGGCAACAGTTCCTACCACTAAATCCAAAAATCCTTCCTTCCCGATCATCCTCAAAGCGAGAAACCATGCATGGTCTTCCAAAGAGAATCCAAAAAGCTGGGAATTTTTTCAACTCCCAGCTGCTCCAAGTCACCCCTAAAGTGACATCCAACTCCATCAATCCTTGACTACTACTGACTTCATCACACGTCAAGGCAAGCAAAATCACATAGATTTTGGCAAAGAGCTCCATTTCTAGAGCTTTTGCAACTATCTGTCCACCATCGAGATGCTTTAAGAGCCTCCTAGGACCATAGTGACTCACCAACCCTAGCCTCTTGCTTGGAGCTCCTCAACATTTGGCATTGTAACAATGATAAGAGGTTGGAGAGCAAACTTGAGAATGTGATGAAGAAGAAGCTTTATATCACTCAAAGTATTGTTGCTGCTAAGGAGCTACTTCAAGCATGGGATACAAAATTCCTTACTAGTGCTCCCACTAGCATAACACTTCCAGAATATGTCCGAGCTTCCCTTCAAGAGCTTGGGGATGGATGGCTTCCTGATGGCAGCTCAAGCTCCATGGATTACAAGAACTAGCCGGGCCAACCATTTTTCTCGCACCACATGGCATATAGTCATATTGCAAGAAATTAACTTGCTTATTTTTATAGGTATTTAAATCATTGCCCAAGTGCTCCAGTGTACACAGCAAGTGTTTTTCTCAAGCTCTTAATTGGTGGGAAGAAATTTAGCATGTATGAGCTAGAATTCCATTGTCCCACTGCACGAGAGCAAGAACTTTGTCCATGGTACTTTGAGTTGTGGAGGCAAATGCCATCATCACTTTTTGAGCTTGATCTCTACCTCAAGTGCCATCTAGGTTTGATGAGTAAAATTTCCTAGTAGTATATGTTTCTACTTTATTGTAGAGGCACTTTTGGAGGGAGTGGAGATGCCTCAAGACAGGGACGAGGTTCATATTAAGCAGACTGAAGACGAACGAGTGGAGAACCCGGCTGAAAACTCTCCTGCCCCATCTCATCCTACAACAGTTGCTCATTCCCCAGATCCTATTGCCGCTACTCGTCCAGCCCCGACAGCTCGAAATGTGCAAAGGCAGCTCCATAGTGAGGATGTCCAAGAGAGTAAGAACTTGATTTCCAATGACCTTGCTTATTGTAATTTGGTTGTAGATGTCAGAGAAATCAGCCAGCACTCTATACATTGACATACAAATGCATTCTTTCCATCCCTCCCCACTGCTACAGAGGATGACCTCCAAGAGTTATCTTCATCAGCTTCACATAAACAGGTATGAAAAAAACATGTATTAACTTTAATATTTCCCAGTTTTGAACACTATTCAGGTTCACCCTCTTTCTTCTAAAGGAAATGTTGGCAACATGGAAATAGTTATTGGGGACTACTTTCAGCTTTCCAAAAATGTGAGCCGAGAGTCTTCTATGTTCCATCGATGGATATGAGGATTGGGAATGAACAATACTTTCAGCATCAACCTCGCATTCTTCGACCTGCCTGATGGGTTACCACCTTTACAAGGCGACACTCCATCCTGGAACATCCTTCGACCGGACCATATTTCTCAAGCAGTGGATGTGGCATCCAAGGTGTTGCGATACGAGGGTATTATGCTAGTCATTCTTCCCCATTCTTTATTTTGGGGAGGTCTTCTTGCAACGATGGCGGAGAATGATGACTCTAGATTGGTTGAGTTTACATCAGGCTGCCTACTCTCAAACATCCCGGTCGAAACAAAAGGAGCTGGTGGCCAAATCCAAAAGGTTTGCATTTCCTTATTTTTCATATCTTAAATTGATTGCCTCTTTTCATTGTAGGTTTTAGCATGGAACTACCATGCTCTCTGCCACTACTCTTGCCGTCACAGTATTACATGAGCTGATGAGCATGCAGGTTTAGCATTGCCAGGATATAATAGCTAAATAGATATCATCCCGAATGTCATCAACGAGGACCATCATATAGAGTTCCTTGGCTATCGACACCATTCACCAAAGGCCATGCAAATCCTCCTAGAGTTATTTTGTCCTCCTAAAGGGATTGTGCTTGATACTATAACAGGTTTTGGTTCGATGGTGCTAGTGGCTAAAGAGACTGGCCATGCAGTTTTTGCACTAGAGAAAGAGAGTGCATTTGAATGTGTTCTTGGGACATTTCATAACAGGTGATAATAAAGTATAAATTTCTCATTATAGTAATTCCATCATGGTTGTATATATTAGGTGGATCGATGACGTGGGCTATAATTTGCCATGTTATGCAGAAGCAATGGCACAAGCTCAACAAAAGCCCACAGCTAGAGAGCATAATACTATACGAACTCCTCCTTTTGTGGATGTGGATGCCAAGGAAGACTAAGTTTAGTTTTTTTTTTTAATCGAATTTTTTAGTGGTTATATAAAGTTTCTTCTTTGAGTTATGATATTTATTTTCTTATTAGACTTATATTATTTAGCTTTTTCTTGGACAGAATATATGTCTTAAGTTTTGAATAGAATTGTTGGTTTGTCCTGAAATCAATCATTTAAACATTAAATATTGTATTTGGTGGACTATATTAACTTTCATTGACTTGAGCTTAGCTCAAAAACTACCCAGCCCTTGACATATTTATTGCTAACAGTCAATCATGGAAAAGGCCCTATCAGATCAAACACCACAAACTCAAACACACAGGAAATTACAATTGACTCTAGCTGTCTTTCCACAAGATGATGGGGAGTATTACAAGCTTGGCACTCCGGCTCAACATCAATCTTGGTGTTGTGGTATGCGAGATTTTAGTGCTCTCGATTGAAATTGGCCAATTGATCCATTGAAATATCATGTTCTTGGTTGTCATTTCTTGTTCTTGCATCCTTCCAGGTCTCTGTCATAGCCCCCAACGTTGCTGCGATCTATGGGATGCACTTCAGCGTTCCCATGGCCAGGGCAATTCTCAACACAATCAACTTCCAGCTGGACGCATGCACAATTGCGCTGCTGCTGGATCATGCCCAGAGCCACGGTCTTCGTGGACTCGGAGTTCTTCCCTCCCATCATGCAAGCTCTCCAGCTCCTGGCTGAATCGTCCAAGCCTCTCCCCCAGCTCGTCCTTATCAAAGATAAGTCCTATACTTCTCAAGCAGCTCACAGCTATGGTGGAATTCTAGAGTATGAGGAGTTGCTCGAGAATTCCAGCCCGGATTTTCCTCTCATCTATCCTGACGATGAAGAACAATCCATCACCTTGAACTACACATCCAGTACCACCTCCAGGCCCAAGGGCGTTCTCTACACTCACTGAGGAGCGTACCTCAACTCCATAGCCAGCATTCTCCTGTGGGAGATGGGAGCTTTTCCAGTCTATCTCTGGCTGGTGCTTTACGTGGGCGATTGCTGCCCAGGGCGGAACCAACATTTGTCTACGCAATGTCACTGCCAAAGCCACCTTTGATGCAATAGCCAAGAGCTCCGTCACTCACCTCTCTGGAGCTCCCACGGTCCTCAACATGATCGCCAGCTCCATGCCCAGCGAGAGGAGAGATCTTCCGGACAAGGTGGTGGTGATCGTCGGGGGCGCTCCTCCACCAGCAGCGATCCTCTCGAGCATGGAGGAGCTCGGCTTCATCATGACATAGGCTTACGGCCTCATGGAGACTTACGGGCTGGCTTTAGTCTGCGCGTGGCAGCCTCACTGGAACTCTTTTCCTCTCGAGGAGTGAGCCAAGCTCAAGAGCTGGCAAGGCTTTGTCCACCTTGGGCTTCACCAGGCCGATGTCAAGGATCCGGCAACCATGGAGTGGGTTGCCCGAGATGGCCAGACGCTGGGAGAAGTGATGGTCTGCAGAAGCACTGTGATGAAAGGCTACCACAAAGACGATGAGGTGACGAGGGCGGTGTTTCAGGGAGGATGGTTCCATACCTGTGACTTGGGAGTGATCCATCCGGATGGTTACATCCAGCTGCATGACCGATCCAAGGATATCATCATCTCAGGTGGCGAGAACATCAGTATCATCAAGGTGGAGTCGGTTCTCTATGGCCATCCAGAAGCTCTTCAGGCGGCTGTGGTCGCTTGGCCTGATGATTTCTGGGAGGAGACGCCCTGTGCATTCATGACGCTCAAGGACATTGGTGGTGCGACCAGCACTCGAGGGATCATCGATTACTGCCGGGCTCGGATGCCCCACTTCATGGTTCCTCAATCCGTGGTGTTTGGAGAGCTTCCAAAGACGTCCACTGGTAAGGTCCAAAAGTTCTTGCTCTGAGACAGGGCCAGAGCCATGGGAAGCCTCAAAGCTCCCAGTAAGCTTTGATACTAATTATGTTTAGTAAGATGGTAGTAATATAAGAAAGCTTATGGTAGATGATGCATTGATCAAGCAGAATTCTAATATATCACAAACTGAGTTGTTTCAAATGTGCCACAATGGCACGTACCAGCAATAACAGGTCCTTTGCAGCAATCATGCAAAAAGCTCCTTTTAAGCACTTGTGAATAGACTAACATACTGAGATATACTTATTAGCATCTTAAATCATATTCTGCATGAATTCAACAGTGAACGAGTAACGTTGTTACAGGATTGAATAAGATTTCCTGCTTTCTCGTAATTCATGGTCAAACGATAAGGTTGGTTCAAAACTTCTCTCCTCCAGTATTTGTTATTTAAACTGCGAGGAGACTTTGTTGCGAAGAGGAACTCTTTTAACTTTGAGAGAGATTTTGTTAAACCAGTTATGCAAAAAAACAGAGAAGTTGTGATGCTTACCATCGCCCTAGCAAGCCATGGTTACTGGGGTGGAAATAATCTTCTCAGCAACTTTGCAAATATCATCCAAAGTCAGCTCACGAACGGTGTCAATAAACTCCTTCGCGGGTTTTCTGTCACCAAATAAACTGGTCACAAATAGATTCACAAACCATTTAGCTCTCTAACCTGCAGTCATAGGTGAGAATTTGCCGACCAATGTCCTCATTCACGACCACCTACAAAGAAAACATTTTGTTTTTCTATGGAAAGACAAAAGTATTTTTGAAGAAAATATTGTTCTACTTCACAAACCCGAGACTCGAGATTCATCAAAACAAGTGAAACGGTTGCATTCTTTGCATGCTCCAATTCAATCTTGTCGACTGGAATGGAAAAGAGCGATCATAGACAAGCGAGAAGAGAAAAGTTTCAAAGTACCTTCTCCAGGTTCTGCCACAAAAATAAGCTCATCTCCTATGAGATCTACAAGCTTGCCTACAAACTTGTGCTCCTAGAAGAAGATCACAGGAACATGCGTTTAGCAACTAGAAACTACTGTGAGAGAGTGCTACTCACAGATGATGCATGAATTCCAAACAAGAGTAAAAGCTGTAAAATTTTCCACCTTGGGATAGAACGCAAGTATCTGGAAGAGTTATTGGAAAATCCTGGAGAAACAAATGTGATGCTGTCACAGCGACCGTGTTACAAGTAAGCTTCCCTTTTCTATCAAGTTTATTGCAAGAATGACTGTGTCCTTTAGTCACTTCTTGGAGGAGGTGGTTTGTTTTCTTCTGGAGGCCCAAGCAAGGGTGTTCATTCTAGATTGTGTAAGTATGGTTTGTGGTTTTGGTTTTTTTCTTACTAGCCACCAGGGATTTCAAATGCGATGGAAACTGATGTAGTTTTCTTAAGGAATGAAAGTATTAAGCACCTTAATTATGGAATGCATATATTGAATAACATCGCGTTGCATCTTCGGCCAATAGAAAGACCTATGCAACTTCTCGGTCACACGATGATGTCTCATATGCCTACGTAGAACAGGAGAATCATGGTAGCATAGAGAAAGCATGGAATAAATAGTGAAAACCCCACTAATCATTAAATGATCATTAGGACCCATCCCCACAAAATAAAGAAGATTGTCCTCAAGGTGATATTGAAAATGTAAATGCTAAAATAATAAATCATTAGCAAGATTCTCAAACCCATTACGAAGTCTTTAAATCCATAGCTCAATCTTTTGAGCCTTGCGAACCTTATCAAGAGAGGTAAATCACCTTGTGGACACTAAACGTCAAGTATAATAACCACCGATGGCATAGAATCCTTGTCCAAAAAATCCACAAATCCTGAAATAACAAACTCGTCAGAAATATAATAAAAGAGTGAAAAAGGAAGAGGAACTCAAGAAATGGCATTAGTATCAGCCATAGAACTCCCCAAACGATAAACAACATTAAAATTATATATTTGAAACTTTAAAGCCCACGAAGCAATACGACCAACCAAGTTCTTTTGCTTCAATAATGAAATAATTGCAGCATGATTACTTTCTAGTAACGTTTAAAAACCATGTAGATATGCATGAAGTTTATTGAAACCCTAAACTATTACTAAACACTCCTTCTCAGTCGTGGAAGACTCTTAGGGATTGAGATAATATAATTGCAGAAAATATTGAAAGCAATATCAAAAACTTTATATAAACTATGTGTCAATATTGAAAGAAAATATAAAATTTATTTAAAGCTATTGGTAGATGTAGTGCATATGATCATGGGATGAGATTTGGATATACTGTCACCATGGATCCTTGGAACTTTGGGGGATAAATGGGGATAAAATAGCCACCAAGGGCTCTCTCATCAAGTAATTACCTTTTTTTAGTTAGCTTAAGGGGAGAGAGATAAAGTGTGCTACAGTTGATATTGGAGCAAATGGCATGGGTTCAATTCCCATTGATTAGTAGCTACCTAAAATATAATATACCCTTGAGCAAGGTATATTCCTACTCCTAAATTTGAAAAATCATACCTTCGTCTGGGATGCTCCACAAGAGGATGGACATCTATGCGTATGTCCTTCCTCTTGTGGAGCATCCCAGACGAAGGTATCCACCATGGGACTGCCTTCTTCTTCTGAAGCATCTTAGATGAAAGTATCCACTGTGGGACTGCAATACGGGTGGATGACTAATTGCTTTACATAGAATAATTGGTCTATACAATAGAAAGATTAGTAGATTCAGTGCAAAAATGGAGGTGTTGATTCCCCTTGGCTCAATAAGGATTTGGATATACTGTCACCATGGATCCTTGGAACCTTGAGAGAAAAATGAGGACAAAATAGCCATTAAGGGCTCTCTCATCAAACAATTGCCCCTTTTCCAGTTGAGAAAATATAGAAGAAGTAGCTATTTTTTGACATATTATTAGAAATGCATTTGATATTTGTATTTGTATGAGATAGTTTATACCTATTAGATACCAAGAACCATTCTCTCTTGCCATGAGGTTTAATATAAATGTGGTAGCAATTTGGATAAATTTACTTAGTGGGTTTAATAATAATGCAAAGCTCAAATAGTGCATCAGAATATTAAAATATAAGAATTTAAAATTAGGCTTGTAGAAGGTTATTAGTTAAAAACCAGATAATGGATTTGGTATTTGAAGCAAGAAAGAAAATATAAAGATGTTGCTACTCTTGTGAAATACATCTTAGTATTAATATTGGAAAAGTAATTTAATTTCTACTATTTAGAAAAATATTTTGTGATATATACATTTGAAACAAGAAATTCTTGAGGATATCCAGAAATAATAGTTTTTTTTATAAGTAAAAATAAATTTTTAAATTATTTTTAGTCTTCAAGATGTTTTTTACAGCATCCATCTTAAAATTAATATAAACCCAGCTTTTAAATATATGAATTACATGTCTTTTCTTATATTTTTCTTTCCGAATTAGTTTTTATATTTAGATTTGTGAGATCCAAGTGTATGGCTATGATGCCGTATACTAATATTAGCATAGTGGGATTTTGGTAACTGTTAGATTGGTTTCAATCTGGACAATTTGCTCTTGTATATAAGCTAGGGTTTTAAAGTTAATTAATATACACATTTCTATATTCTCTTTCCATATTCCATGCACTTACAAATTATATATTTATAATTTTATTATATTGTGTGACGTTCAATTGTACAGTTATGATGCTGTATACTAATATTAGCATAGTGGGATTTTAATAGCTATCAGATTGGCTTCAATTCGGACCTCTCACTCTTATATATAAGCTAGGGTTTTTGGGCTGATTGATATGCATATTTTTATATTCTCTTTCCATATTTTATACACTCACATTAGTGGAGTTAAGGAGCACTTAGATTTGGAATTATTTTATAAATCTAGTTTTTGCATTGTTTAAATCTCCCTTTCTTTATAGCTTTTTCAATTTCTTCTCTTTTGCTTTTTTCTTTTTCGTTCATTTTCATGGCAGATCAGCAGCCTCCTCCCCCTTTGACTATAGAGTAGCAATTGGTGCAATTGCCTAATGCTATATGGTTGCAATTGAACAATCAGATTCAATTGATAGTGGCATTCATTAAGCTCCTCCTACTCTTGCTACCAATCTTAAAGTTTGGCCGGAGTTCTTCCGTGGGAATCCTAAGAACAATGTGTACTATTAGTTCAATCACTTCATAGTGATTGCCATATATCATTTTTGAGATGATGTTCAACATTTGCGTGAATTTCCCACACGTCTCCAAGGGATAGCACTGCAATAGTACAATGGTTTAAGCACAGCCATTCGTGAGGATTAGAGCATTCTCTTATATGTTTTCAAATGTGCATTTGGACTTATCAACAATTGTGATGATGCCTTTTAATAATTGTATTGTCTTTGTCAAGGGCTGCCTGAGTCTGTGATATAATTTGATATTCATTTCTGAAACTTTTTGCTTCATGAGGAGCCTAATATGTTGTGGTTAACACTTCACCAAGATTTTGTAAGACTTGGGCATACATTTGCTTCAACCACCTTTGACGATGCTCTTCATTTGGCACAATGTTTTGAGACATTGCTTATTCCACTTCTCGTTACACATCCTTCAATTCCACTTTTTGTGGGAGATGGTCATGTTTCAATGAGGGTTGACGCTACTATTCCCCTAGTGCAAGGATAAGGACAAAGACAATGTCAATTCATTTCCAAGAATACATGCATTTTACCTTTAAGTCAACTTCCAACTGATCCTAATTTATAACCTTAGGTTCTTGGTGTTCAGTCATACCTTCTCCCTAGATTAGAACTCTACATCCTGGCACTTCTAGTTTGGGAATTTAGTTTGCTTTTATTGAGCCCATTCCAAGAAATCCCTCACTAGATTCCAAATATTAAGTCTTTTCGCCATAAATGCCTAAACTGTAGATAACTCTCTATGATACTTGGCTATGCCAAGTTTTATGAGACCTTTGATAGCTTGCCCATTGATGACTTCCCATGACTCACCCCAATACTCAAATGTGATGAATTGTCATAACACATTTCTACAAATCCCAAATGATTTACCCAATTAGTTTAGTCTTCTGAGATATAGTATTGCAAATAATCTTTTAATTGTCTATTCACCCTTTCTATTTGTCCATCTGTTAAGAAGTGTTATTACTATTAAACTTGACTAAATACTCAATATATGTCTATGGGTGATAGACTGTGCTGAATTTCAACTTTGTGTAATATTGTTCTAGGAGAGTTCTTCAAAAACCTACTAATGAAGATCTTATTTTGATTTGAGATAATTTCCTTTGGCCTTCCCTGCACTCAAACCACTTATTTGAAGAACAACTTTGCCACACTTTTTGCATCCACTTTTGTTGTGGTGGGTATGAAATGTGCCATCTTAAAAAACTGGTCCACCACTACGAATATTACATTAAACCCCTCTTAAGGGGAGTTCTGTGATAAAGTCCATCGTCAGACATTTCTATGGACGATCTAGAATTGGGAGGCTTTGTAACAAGCCCCCACTAGCCTTAGTTATGGCTTTGATTTGCTAACATATTAAACATGGCTTTATATAGGCTTGGACGTTCTTAATTATATTTGGTTAGTGATACTTTTTCTTGAATAAGCCTATCATTTTAGGCACTCTGCCATATTTTGCAAAAGATCCATTATGACACTCTTCTAAGGGTACTTTCCTTAGCATTGGATTTTAACATTGATAAAGAAAGGGCCCTATAATAAAGTGATCACCCCTTTAGCTAATTGGCTTAGGGTGTAAGTGATAAAATTTTAATATTGGTATTAGAGTAATTCCATTATCATGGCTAACAAATAGGGTAGAAATATTCTAAAGGAATATTTAATATGGTGGATGTAGA